ACCTCACTCATTTGTAACAACTAAGGCAAAAATGTAATTAATTCAGAAAATCTTTTCAGAACCCCAACTCCCACTTTGGGTCTCGACCCCAACTTTGGGAAACACTGGCAAGTTATTATAAATAAATATGCACTCATTGTAAATCTAATTAAAATGTAAAAAATATTAAACTGTTTTCAGAATATAATGTAACACCTTTTATAATTAAGTATAGAAATGATCATTTTCAGTATTTTTTCCTGAATCGAGCACATTCAGTCCATCATTTAGCACAAATGAGCTGACAGTACGGATCGAGCAGCCACAAAGCCTGTTAAAATTAAATTAGCTGAAGCTAACGCTAACAGCTAACTGCTAAATCAATGCMCACCACTGGTCGTTTTTATTTGTTTGTTACTTTTTAGATGTTAATTTTATTGATATTTTCCCGTTTTTATGTCTGAATGAATAAAAACACTTTGTTCCTTTGAGGAATTTGAAGTAAATAAAATAAACTTGGACTGAATTGAAGTCGGTTGTGCACCTTTCTGCTCCTCGCCAACGTTCAGAGCTCACAAAGCGGCGCCTCGCGGCCCGTTTGGGCTCAGCTGCATGCCTTATTAAAGCCAGCAGGACTCCATGTGAGATGGGGATGAATCATGAGACAGCCAGGACTCCTGGTACCGCTTAACGCCGAGGATTTTTGGGAAGAAATGTGGAGCAAATTGACTGGTTGGCTGAGCCCGGCGGGCCTTGTGATCAGTCGCTCACATGTCTTTCATTTCTGGGTCTGGAGCTGAAGAACTCGGTCCTTTCAGTCTGAGAACAGAGGGAGGAAGAGAATCAAACACTTATTTGTCATTTCTTTGTGAGGAACGCAGATTTTGCACAGAAATGTCATAAATATGTTCYTGAGGGTTCAGAGGAGACCCGTGACCATCTGGATCACAGCGCGGCTGCACACACACCTTCCTCTGCACGCAGTGTGTTCTGCTGTGGTCCGCTGGGCCCGCACAGCTCGGAGGGTGTCGTCCTGAGAGCTCCGAGTCAGAACTGAAAACACAAACCTTCATTTTTACACTTTCATTAAATAACTGAACTCTGCTGAAACAAAAACTTTGTTTAATGTAAAACATTTCAACCATCTGAACCTGATGAACTGTTTTTATCATGGAAATGAGATTAAGTGAGATCAGAATTAAATCAAACATAAAGGGGTAGTTCAGACGTTTTAAAATGAGTTCTGTTATGAAAAGTTAATATCTTACCTGTTTTAGATAGCTCTTTGAGTAATCTCAGTTTGGAAAAATTATTTAATTTTGACCAGATTGACAAACTAGCAAGTAGCTTAAGTTAACGGCAAGTCCAAGCTAACAGCTAAACTAGGCTAACAGATAATTTATCTAATAGCTAGTTCGAACAAATGGCTAATACAAGGAAATTTCTAGTCCAAGTAGGCCAAGACCAAGTTCACCTTTTTTAATTTTAAAAATTTAGTAGAGTTTTATCCAAAAAGAATTTAAAATCATAGTTTTTTGCTAATAATTTAGCATTACAAGCAGGAAAGTTCAAATTCCTGCAGGAAGTGCTACAGCTAGCTGTTGTTGCTGCTATTTCTGTTTTTGAATAATTGTCAAGTTTTATGTAATTGTGAAACTGAGGGAAATAATATATTTAAGGGTCGTTCATATGAGCTTCAATGAAGCAAAACACAGTTTGCTGTTTTTTTTTTCTGTTTCAGAAC